TAAAAGGGGATGCATTTTGCATGAGCTCGGGTCAACCTTACGGGGTAATAATCATTTTTAAATGTCAACCCTAGTCCTCGATTTCCGTCTCGATAGATGTAAAAGTTCGTTGTAACATGCCCGAATGATTCTTCGATAAAAAATAGTGAAACCTGCCTAAATTTTCAGAAATTAAACGCAAAATACGCAGGATAGCAAAATTGAGTCTGACTTTTGTTAAAACTTCGAAGTCAAAAGTGCTTTCCCATGATTATGAACCAATTGCCCAGAATCAGATATTTGATATCGCGATATGTTGAAAGATTTCAGAATTATTTATTTTTAAGTCAAATCCAATATGGTATTTCTCCGAAAATATAAAAAGAACTAGTACTTTAATGAAAAGAACAGAAAATATTACGTCAAATAGGCTCAAGAATTTTTTCGATCGGACTACAAAACGAAGTTTCGGCTAAATTTTAAAGACTTACTTTTTTTAATAAAATTCGAACAAAGAGGAAGAATTTTTTCAATATAGTATTGCTAAATATTAAATTCTGCAGGGAAGTAGGAAAAAAAATTGAGTTCAATTAAAAAAAATGTTAAGTACACTTTTAAAATACACAATATTTTTGATGTATTGAGTACTATGAATGCGTAGTTTTATTGAGACATCCTGTAGAGTAGCAAATAAAGCAGAATATATTTTCCTACTTCTTATTCCACGGATGACATAAAATCACTGTTATATCTTCCCATTCCCATATTGACTTTATCGTGACTGATTTTAACTTCCTGGGGAGAACTCATAAAATGCATATAAAGGTTTTTCAACACTGATCAATATTCAGGTCGGGTATTCGCAAAAAGGAGAGGTCCAGGGATTAGGATTGAATTGGGTCATAGAAATCATATTAAGAGATGACAAAGGTATTTCTTTTCCAATAGTTGTATGTTATTAGAAGGAAAGGTGATAATATAGAACCCTATTAATATACAGTTTGACTGCGGATTGAGTTTACGAGAGGACAAATGGACCAAAAAGTGAAAGATACGAGAAAAGGCATTCTTAATAAAAGTTTTTGCTTGTTAATAATAATCACCATGACGAATTTCAATTTTGTTGTATAAGCAAAAACTTTTATCAAGAATACCTTTTTTCGCATCTTGCAAAATAAGGTATGTTTACTCTTACTTAAAAATAACATTTTTGTGTTTTGACCCACCTTGTACAACAAAATTGAAGTTCGTCATGGTGATTCGTATTTTCTAAACAATAAATTATAAAAAAAAAATGAATGATCAACTACAGAAAAAAAATTGTACAATGGTTATTAAAAAATTATGGCTCATGTCAATTGTTTAAAATAAAACAATGACAGATGATACATATTAGTTTTCCAAAATTACAGTTTTATCAGTTTGCGTCTTTCAATTTAACTATAAGTTATACGATTTACCATTGTACAATTTTTTTCTGTAGTTGATCATTCCATTTTTTTATAATTTACTGTTTGTTTCTTAGTATGTGATGTGAATAAAGCCATTATAACAATATTTTAAAAGAATATTCTGTCTCGGTGTGATTTAGATAGAATAATAGATTTTCCTGTTGTATCAAACATATTGAAGCCGACATATCTCGAAAACAAGTAAATATAAGGAAAAAGTTTATATTACAAAAATTACTCAAAATTTAACGATCTTTCAGATGGACTGCATTTCCATGTTCCAGAAATCAAACAATTTTTTAGTATCGCCACGCCATCTATACAGAAATATTTGAACTAACACTCCTAACTACAATTTGAAGCTATTCGAGGGATCTAACAACCCCAATTTCTAGAACTAAAATAAATTTCTTCATTTCGGAGATATTAGCAGCGGGAGTGTTAAATAGCACACCCTGTATATTTTTTTACTTACTGTCGTCTACTAAAATTACGACAGTCAAATTTTTAACACACCGTATATAATTCTAGTTAAAGGTGCATACGCAGAAGTGAAACTCTTCCCCAATTCGTGCGCACGCCACTAAACCGAGTTCCTAGGGCATCTCCTGGATGTTGTCTCGAAGCATCGGAAATCCGATAACGACTAATAATAAATGTTACACTACGCGACGCCGACGGGTCGGCGTCTGAACGGGGCACTTAGGAGAGACGCGACGTCGCATCTTTCTGATGCCTGCGGGGGCTGTCGAAATGCAAAGTTTACCCTCTCGGATCGCTACGCAATTTGCGTGTTCAAACAATTGGAAGGTTATTCGTACAGCGTGGAAATAAAAGAAGTGGGAAAAGCGGTGTCGATTTCAAGTAAATAGAAGCTTTAACACGAAAAATATTCGCGTTGCTGGAATAGTCATTTGTTAATAAATATTTTCTTGCCAAAATATTTGTCTAAAATATTTATAGTTGAAGGTAAATACGGCGTTAATGTATAATTTTCCCAAACAGCACCGATTTGCACCAAAATTTGAATTTAGGTTCTACTTATCCTCTACTTCAAAGTTGACCCTTGCGCCGGGGGTTGCTTTTTATTTTTTAGAGGTGAAAACTACCCCTATTTGAAAATAATTATAGAATTGTAGATTCGAGCGTGTAATAGGTTGAAATCATCTTTAAATAAGTAATTATGATGAACTGAAAATTGTCAAGCTCTAAAAACCACCCCCTATGACAGTAATCATTAAAAAATAATGTTGAAAAATATTAATCAGCAACTTGGAATAATTTAATTATATAGTGATATTAAATTAAGATTTCTTTACTGTTTTAATTTTTTATTATTTATTTATAAGTTTCAACCCTTATAAAAACCACCCCTTGCAAAAAAATCGAACAATTATAGTTCAAAAAAATTTTATAGTTCAAAATATACGTGTGTGAATACTTAGATGTAAATACGTCTGTCCCTAAAATATAGTTATCTATAATGTGTATTCTTCAATATACATGTTCTGATATCTGCAAAAATATGTGTATAGTTTTTATGCTATCAAGCCCTTCAAAAAACTATTTTGTAGTTTTTTTCAAGGGTTATAAGATCAAATAAGTTAAATTTTCTGCTGCTGAAAGGGCTTGAACAAGTTGCTACTTACGAACATATGCAAACTATCCGGCCATATCTTACTTAATTTTTATCCTACAGAAAAAAAAACAAAATTTTCAAAAAAGCAAAACCTACAATTTTGTACTCTACTTTCGTATCATTAATAGATTTTGAGTTATTTTGAAGAAAAGATAATTTTTTTCAAATATACAAAAATTCTCTTTTCACTTCAAGCTCAACTTTTTTCAAAACTAAGCACTTTAAACCGGTCAAACTTCTAGAGCATATTACAAGTACATAAATAAAGTAAATTGTAAGATGGTAACGATTAGTTTCAATGGGGGTGGTAATTAGGGGGTGATTTTCACGTTTTTTGTCGCCGAAAAACCAACTTTATTTTCGTCATAACTCGTTTAGGTTTGATGCTAGGGGCTTTTATAAACAATAAAAATAAAGGTTTTTTTTCAAGCACTTTAGAAAGATTCTATGAGTATTCCTTGAAAAATGTATTGGTTTTTGGTTATTTTCCATTCAAACTTTGACGAATAAGAACCGACCTTCAACAAGCTATTACTCCGCTTGTATAGGGTCTATAAACACCATAAATACACCGTTCTTTTTGTTTCTTTATATGCCACATTTTTTTATAAGAATTATTTTTTTGATAAAGTACTTACTTTTTGAGTTATTCGCGAAATCCCGTCTGAAAAAGTGTTTTTTTTTAAATTTACACTCACTCACGAATAAGTCGAAAAGTATTGCCTCAGAAAAAATTTTATACAACAAAAGTTGCTTAGAATTAGTCAATATATCCATTCCCAGAGTTATTTTCAATGAAACATATTTCACCCCCGAGAAGGGGTGGCATCCACTCCCAGGGTAAAAGCAACCCCCGGTACAAAGTCAACTTTGAAGTAAAGGATAAGTAGAAACAAAAAGGTAACCTGAAACCAATTTTTGTATAATCTTGTTTCTGGTTGATTTTACAACAAAAATGATTCTATGATAAAGTAAACTACACAATTTTCTCTACAAAATAGGTCACTATCATTTTTTTCTTAAAACTGACAATTTTTACGTACAAAAATTATAAAGTTTACCATGTAGGTAACGGGTAAAAAAATACGCATTTAATGTGGGCTATGTTGATGTCGTGTTCAGACTATACACTTTTATTATGAAGTATTATTTACATGATTTTTGTTAATTGTTCTTTGCAGTTTTAAATAAACCATAGACTTGTTTTCATGAATTTTGAACACCCGGTATATTGAAAATGAGGGGTTTTCTCTGACGAGCAACGTAAAATTTGGAGTCAATTCAACCTGTGATAATAAATCCTAATGGAAGACTAGCTGTAAATTTGTTTATGCGAACATCAAGAATTTGTTTATGTGAATATCAAGCAACAATTTGCCGTCAAATGTGATACCCTCATCAAATTTGGACTATATCTTAGTAGGTAGGTATAAACTAAACGATGAAAATAAAATACCTTATTAAGTTAGCTTTATATACGTAGTTACGTAAGGAAACATTTACGTTAAAGTTGAGCTAATGTACTGGCATTATATTTAGAAAAGAAAATGTTTTGAAACTTTAGTAAAAATTTAACGTATTGTCTTAAAAGATAGTTTAATATTATTGACCACTGATATACAGGGTAGGAAAGTACCGATGGTCTATCTGAAGTTACGTGAGAGCGATAAAGTAAGCCATAGAAATCCATGCGATAGAGAAGGATTGAATTTAAACATACTTCCGAGTCTATGGTTATTTGAAATTGAAAGATAACAAATGTGCAAAAAGGATTACAAGTAATATAACCTTGATAACAAAACTCGAGAACATTTTATCAGTACGAGTATTTTTCTTATATCTAGTGGTTTCTAAAACACCCTCTGTCCCCATCGAAAATAAAACCTTTACATAAGAATTGGACTCGAGATAACGATTATTATCCTTTCCAGATGTCCTAATATGGGTCAGCCTTGGATGCTGGTTCGTGCGGCTGCTATACTACTCGTGACGAGGCAAACACTAGCTCTTTCCGACATGTGAGTATTATTGTTTTGTTTTATGCGTTTCCAGATCCCCCGCGTGCTACGCAGTGGCGGAACCTCAAAATTTAGGCGCCCCAACAAAATTCACTTCAGAAATTTTGCACTACGCTACAGGTAGCAGGGGCATAATCCCAAAAAAAATTGAGAAATTTCTAAAGCAATGATATTTTCAAAATTTACACCAATATTTTACCTTGGAGTTAAATTCACGTTACTGTATAGAAAAATTTATGGAAGTGAGGGTTGCTTTCGCTGTACAGCAAGAATAAAACGCTCTTGCAACGGTAATAATAAAGTATTTTATTGAAAACTAAGTTGTATAGAAAAAGACGTGTTGACAGGGTGAGTGTTCGTTGGAGAGTCCCCATGTGTGGAGTCGGTCGTAGGTATATGAGTACGCATCTGGTCGCCGGCGCCAGTCCGGCGTAGACCCTTCCTGGAACGCTGGTGCGTCCGGCGGCGTCCTGCTGGCGCTCTTGACGTAATGCTTAAAAATGGGTCACTTGCGAACATGTGTACCCACAGAAGTAGAAGTTTTTTTTCACAATTTTCATTAACCCATTATGCGATTGACAATAGAAAAAAAATCTTCAGTTTAAATCAATCAGGTAGAATGGAGTTGGGAAGAGGCCCCTTTTGCTGTAGAGTAGTTTCGCCACTGATGTTACGACGTAAGCGATGCCTCTGTTGTTTTTCTATCCGCGCTCCCCTCGCAAATATAACACGGGTTTGCTATAGGGCGATGGCAAAAGCGAAATGGAAATATATCACACTTAGGTATTTATTATTCCATTTACGTAAATAAGGAACGAAGCGCCGCAGCATGAAGCCTGTAGAAGGAAAATAGCTTTATGTTCTCCAAATATGCGTACATGAACAGTTTTTAGTTGAACTTTATGAACTTTCAAAACAAATGGTATCTGCTGAAAGAAATAAACGGTCCTAACACCAACATTGCTTTTTGGGGTGGAGTAGAACAACTTTATAAACATTTGTAGCAGTGTATCTATTATCTATGAGACCATTATCCAACTATAATGACAATAAAATATAAATAACACAGTTTTTTGTATATCTCTTAATTTTTTACAAAAAAATGTATTCAAACGACCATGTTATTTGTCTTTTACTTGACATCCGTATTTACAATTGCCTTTTAGCTGTAATCAGCATAAATACAAACTTAAGGCAAAGAGTAAAGATTACCTTTAAAACTGTTGCAAGTTTACCTGAAAGTTGTTAAATTCTACACAAAAACTTTCAAACTCGCGCTCTCGAGGGATACAATTGTGAGAACTGTAAAAAGGAAATAATTAAAATTTATTTATAAGTCTTCCCGTCTGGCTAGAACTCAAAGAAAACGATAAATTGAAAGTAATATTTCACTCATTTAATATTCAATGGAGGAGGTACGCAGTTGTCTACGACTGTTCCAAAATTTGTAAACCAAATATACAACATGCAATAAATTACGAGGAATTGGAAACAAGTCGGATATGTTTTAATAAAGACAACGTTTTGTGGATAATTTGACCAAAACTTAAATGGAAAAATAGCACAATATTTCAAAAAAATGTATTTACGATATTCCATTTCATAAATTATAGAATTCTAAAAATGTCTGTGGAGACACGCAGTTTATTAGTACTAGGGTTAAAGAAGAAAACAAAAGACTACTTTTTTTCGTTCTAATAATTAAATATGCGATAAACTCAAGTTGCGGTCTTTGAACTGAGACGCAGAACATGGCACCTAATAATTATTGTCACGTAAGTAAATATAATTTAATTGAATTGTGTAAAGCTAATTTTGGGCTAGAATAACGGTAGTTACATCTATATATATAAAAAAAATAAATTGGACAAAGTTAAAAAAATTATCTAGTAGCATACAATGTTCTCAGACTTTTGATTTCTTTAAATCTTTTTTTTTCATCGCGAATACATAAATTTAAAACATAATACAAAAAAAAATAGAACATCTCGACAGATTTAATATAGGTATATATTATAATTTTCTAGACTTGCATGCGTAATGTTTATTATTTCTGGCATTTTTGACAACCTTGATAGTTACTTACACGAACCAACAAATATACAAAGATCAAAGCTCCACTTAGGGTTTATGTTTTTGGTCGTAAAAGTAACGTAAAACTCTAAAATTTACTATTCCGTGTTTAGTCCGAACATTAAATATTTAATTTCCTAATAGAAAATAGGTACCTACAAAGCAATAAACCACGGGATTTGCTATGCCGAAAATATATGCGGATAGACATTTCAAGAAATTGAATCATTTTATTACAAATCTCCTTACTTCGTTTAAGATTATTATGATCGGGTAGAAATTTATGTAGAATTGAAGGTATATTTATTTCTTTTGAATACGGTTTCTGTCTAAGAAGTAATTTTTTCCTTCTTGTCTTTATTGTCACTATTTTAAATGCCAACGCATACTGTTACAATTTTTTAATACGCAAAATAGCACAGAAGCTTTATATACAGGGTATTAAAAAAAGAGTGTAAAATATTTAAGGAGGTAATAATATGAATCAAAATAAGCAGATAANAATAAAATATAAATAACACAGTTTTTTGTATATCTTTTAATTTTTTACAAAAAAATGTATTCAAACGACCATGTTATTTGTCTTTTACTTGACATCCGTATTTACAATTGCCTTTTAGCTGTAATCAGCATAAATACAAACTTAAGGCAAAGAGTAAAGATTACCTTTAAAACTGTTGCAAGTTTACCTGAAAGTTGTTAAATTCTACACAAAAACTTTCAAACTCGCGCTCTCGAGGGATACAATTGTGAGAACTGTAAAAAGGAAATAATTAAAATTTATTTATAAGTCTTCCCGTCTGGCTAGAACTCAAAGAAAACGATAAATTGAAAGTAATATTTCACTCATTTAATATTCAATGGAGGAGGTACGCAGTTGTCTACGACTGTTCCAAAATTTGTAAACCAAATATACAACATGCAATAAATTACGAGGAATTGGAAACAAGTCGGATATGTTTTAATAAAGACAACGTTTTGTGGATAATTTGACCAAAACTTAAATGGAAAAATAGCACAATATTTCAAAAAAATGTATTTACGATATTCCATTTCATAAATTATAGAATTCTAAAAATGTCTGTGGAGACACGCAGTTTATTAGTACTAGGGTTAAAGAAGAAAACAAAAGACTACTTTTTTTCGTTCTAATAATTAAATATGCGATAAACTCAAGTTGCGGTCTTTGAACTGAGACGCAGAACATGGCACCTAATAATTATTGTCACGTAAGTAAATATAATTTAATTGAATTGTGTAAAGCTAATTTTGGGCTAGAATAACGGTAGTTACATCTATATATATAAAAAAAATAAATTGGACAAAGTTAAAAAAATTATCTAGTAGCATACAATGTTCTCAGACTTTTGATTTCTTTAAATCTTTTTTTTTCATCGCGAATACATAAATTTAAAACATAATACAAAAAAAAATAGAACATCTCGACAGATTTAATATAGGTATATATTATAATTTTCTAGACTTGCATGCGTAATGTTTATTATTTCTGGCATTTTTGACAACCTTGATAGTTACTTACACGAACCAACAAATATACAAAGATCAAAGCTCCACTTAGGGTTTATGTTTTTGGTCGTAAAAGTAACGTAAAACTCTAAAATTTACTATTCCGTGTTTAGTCCGAACATTAAATATTTAATTTCCTAATAGAAAATAGGTACCTACAAAGCAATAAACCACGGGATTTGCTATGCCGAAAATATATGCGGATAGACATTTCAAGAAATTGAATCATTTTATTACAAATCTCCTTACTTCGTTTAAGATTATTATGATCGGGTAGAAATTTATGTAGAATTGAAGGTATATTTATTTCTTTTGAATACGGTTTCTGTTTAAGAAGTAATTTTATCCTTCTTGTCTTTATTGTCACTATTTTAAATACCAACGCATACTGTTACAATTTTTTAATACGCAAAATAGCACAGAAGCTTTATATACATAACAGTTACATAAATTTATAAAAATTGAGGTTATACGGACATTTATTTGGTAATTTTGACAATGTCTTTTTCTTTAATTGCAGCAAATCAGTAGAATTTTATCATTATAATAATGATCTGATTGCTGTAAATTCATATAATCAGGATAATTAAGGTATTTTATAGATAATAGGGCGCCGTATTCACCAGTGTAATTTCCTTAGGGTCTCTGGATGGAGGTCATCATTATCCTATAACACCCGTGATGCCTGCAATGTTAAATGTACTAGTTTGTTATTTAATTCGATTATTTTTAGTTATTTAAATTTGTTACATTTTTAAATTTAATTTGTATTGATGTTAATCAATGTTACGTGTCATTTATAATTACATTGATTTACTCCCATGTACCACTAGTGAGTTATTTCTTATACTTTGTATATCTCACACTAGTAGAACATCAATACAAAAATGTGAAACAGTAATAATAAATCTTCACCCTGACTGTATGTATTTTCCTAAGTGGGTTGTAAATCCTCTCCGCTGCAGGGAAAATCAAACGAAGTTGTTAATATTATGCGATTTAAAGTGTTACTCTAACTAATGCTCCCTCTGTTGCAGCTTCGAAGAAGGCAAATCCGACAAGGAAATCCTGGATAACCTTTTACGGGCCACACGCTACGACAAGAGGCTGTTGCCTCCTGTTAGAGGTTAGTAGAATGTCTGTCTTTCACAAAAAGCATGCTAAAGTCGTAGATGGTTAGAGACAGAATGTAGTGGCTTTTGGGTTGGAGTAGATCACGTAACATTTTTAGGACTAGACGGCAAATATCAAACGCACACAAGCTTTAAAAGATTTAGTAGACAAGCTTCACATTTTTTTTTTTTTACAAATGTATCTAATAGTATATTTTTGCTTTCTGGTATAACCATTGCTTCTTTTATTAAACTTATAATTGCTCAATAAAAATCTACCAAAATTATCGATAACATGACGTGTATCAAGTACTGTACTTGACTTAATTTAAAGCACAATTAATGAACTAGGGATCAATTCTAACATCTCACGGAAATATGGCAGCTATACATTTTTTTAAAATATTTTTTTACCTGTATGAAATTTGGTTATGTTCTTAGCTATGGATGAGCCACATTTACACAGTAAAAAATGGATTGCTTATAATCCACTTTTCTTAGGTTACTGTTAAAGTAGAAAATACCAAGCTTTGACTGTAAAATCTTTATTTATTGTGCGATTTTAACCGGATTTTTTTAAGATATAGAGCTTGATGAAGTGTGCTATGTGAAGCGTGATTCCACAAAATCCATGGCATACCACGCCCATTTTCAGGAGTAAAATTCTAATATTTCATATTATGGATTTTTTGAGAAATAGATATAATAGTGCTTTCGAAAAGTAACGAATAAATTCATTATTTTTTAAATTGAGAAGTTTTCGAAAAAATCCCCTGGCGCGTCGATTTTGTTTTTAAAAAAGGCACTTTTTGACATACGACCCATATTTGTGACGTCATCGTTGTTCGAGATATGACGTCATCGACAATTTTTTTAAATAGCAACCCCCAATTTTGACCATGCCATTTGAAAGAGCGTGTCATTCTACATACGCTTCGTCAAAAATCATGGTTGCCTGACAGTAGCCTTAGCGACCGAGAATGTTTTTTATTGCTGTCAGATAAAAACTTGAAATCGTACTTTATTAAATAGTTTTTT